GGGCTGCAGGCAGCACTGAGCTTTAGGGCAGCGGTGGGGTAGACATCTGCACAAGGGATTGTGGGGCACAAGCTGGCACATGTGTGTCTGAAGGAAAGACCCACATATGGGGGGAGGAAGGGGTTGCCTTTCCTTCCTATACCCCTCCTGGCAGCCAGACCCAGAGGTCACCCTGCCAGCATCCAGCCGGCAGTGATGCATCCGTAGATTCAGCTGTACTGTACAGGGCAGGGACTGCCAGGCTGGGGGTGGGCATGCAGGTGTCTCTGACACCTCTGCGACCACTGCTCTGGGGACATCAAACAGTGTATGATCTCATATTAACCCCTGAGCGCTTTGATCATGCTCAAAACTGCTGAATGCCCACCATAGCCTGGGGACAGGTCAGGTTCCCACATGGTGGCTGTCCCAGCCCATGGCCGCAGGAGCTGTTTCCCATGTCCCTGGTTGGAGTGACCCCACTCGTGGCAGTAACCCAGGGGTGTTAGGACAACATGCTGGGTCGCAGCTCGGTTCCTGTTCAGCTGGAGGAAGGAAGAGCACTGTGGTTGCAGCACCGTCCTGGGACTCAGCACTGAAATCAGCATCTGCCTTGTGGACTTACTTCCTCTCGCCGCCTCCCTCTCTGCCTCAGTGCTCCCATCTGTACAATGAAAACCCCGAGGTTTCCTGTTAATGAACTCTAGTGGCAATGCTGCCCACGAGCAGCTTTCGCGGTCCAGAGCCCCCGTTTCCCCTTGCTACAATGCTCATGGGGCAAGAGTCAGTCTCTGCACGCCAGAAGCTCTGCATGGTCCATGGGTGGCACCGTGAAGGAGTTTTAGGTGAAGACTGGCAAGCCAGGTGAGCATCATGCAGGGGAGTAACACATATGGGTGCAGACACCGACTTCCAGCAGCAGGCAGGAGACCACCTTTCTCCAAGGTATGGTCCCAGCTGTGGGAAAACTTGGCTCATCCATGGGAACGGAATCACAGAATCACAGAATCTTCTAGGTTGGAAGGGACCTTAATGATCATCTTGTCCAACCGTCAACCTAACTGACAAAAGTAGACACCCACACAACAAACAAGGAGCATCATCACTAAACCATACCTCCCAGCACTACATCAACCCGTCTTTTGAACACCTCCAGGGATGGTGCCTCAACCACCTCCCTGGGCAGCCCATTCCAATGCCTGATAACCCTTGTGAGCCTTATGCATCGGTCTTGGGCAGACACCTGTATATCCTTGAAGAGGCCTGGGAGTCCAGAGAAGAAGGGAGTAAATAAGATTAAGGATCTGTCAGATAGCCAGCAGAGGAAAGTTACTGAAGTTACCACAGAGAACAAAGAAGGAGGAAATCATCCAATCATGAACTGTTGGACTTTAAGTGAACCAATTATACGTGGACACACGTTTGTAGGAAAGATATAAAAGAGTTTGTTAAAACAATAAAGTTGGGCTTCAGCATGATCAAACTGGTCTGTGTCTGAGTCCCGCCGCACCCAGCGATGGGGTCCCCACTGCAGTAAGAGGGGTGCAAACCCTTCTGCACCACAGATACGCCTTTGGGAACAGGATTCCCAAGCAAAAGGAAGAGGCAGGGGATAGAACTACTGCTGTTGGTCTTCAAGCATCCTGATGGCTGGTTTGCAACACCAAGCAGAGGCAGTCAAGGCATTGGCATGTGTGTCCTCCACATGCGTGACAAGTCCGAGGGGGAAGATGGAGAACTGAGCTCTGTGCAGGACTGGACCAAGGACATTCTCAGGAAAGGGCTGCCTGCTGGTCAAGACCACAAAATGCTTTGTATTCATGACCCTGCATAATCACTGAAGATGGAAAAGTCCCAGGACAACTTGTTCAGCTTCAGAAAGGGGAAATGCGTGAAATGAGGAAACTTGGATAAAACAAAGTGAAAAGAAGCAGCATGGTCACACACAGTCCAACAAGCTCACAAAGGTTTAAGGCAGCCTTGTAAGGCTCCTGCTATCAAAAAGTAGAGAAAAACCAGGGCCAGAGGTTATTTGAAACAGAGGCCACTTCAAAGAGCTGAAGTCATGTCGAGATGACAAAAAATAGTATCAGGCAAGTAAGATGTAAAAGCTCAATAAGACAAACAAAAAAAGAGAGCAAGGAACAGGCTGCAGAAGCAGCCAGCAGTCCTTTTTGCAAACACTTCAAGAGCTTCAGATCTGCCACAAAGTCTGTGGGGTCGGTAGGAGAGCGTGTCCTCACACCGGAGGGAGGAGTGATGTCCCTCGGGCTGGCAAGGTTGCTGTGAAACATGGCTCAAATGCCAGGGCGCTGAGAGGTTTATAAAAAAACAGGACACGTGCCTTTTCCCTGGCATCACAGCAGGACACGGGTCCCTGCCTACACCCCGCTGAAATACACCCTGCCCATACTCCCAGCTGTGCCTGGTCTGCCAGGCGCGCTCTGCGGTGGGTTGACACGGGCACACAGCGGTGGCACCTGCACAACCAAGGATTTCACATCCTGTTGTGCTGCAAACAAACCAAAGCTGTCTTTCTGGCTTTGTGTTTGCCTTTTGTGACCAGAGCACGTAGCTGCTGGACCCACTGGGGATGGTGGCACCAGCTTGCAACACCCCTCCGTCCTCTGCGCAAGAGCCCGTGTTACGCTTGAGGCTGGATTTTCTGATCTGGAGGAAGGGGAAGTGTAAAGAGCGAGAGAGCGAGAAGGCTTCCTGACAACTGCTTGGTCCACACTTCCTGCATGGCTTTTGAGGTTTCAGATGGAGTAATAAAGGGCTTTTGGAAATGCCACAAACTGTTAGCACAGGAGATGAGAACCATTGTGCTGGGAGCGGTGCACAGAGGGACCAGGGATGTGATTTTTTTTCAGTCTTTTTTGATTTACGGAATTTCCCTGCTTATGTTCCGAAGATCCTCCAAATGAGTCACCAGTTCCTACTGATATAGTTTGCTTTTGCAGCCCTTTGGTTATTCCTTGAGAGACCCAGCAGCATCAATGGACAAAGAGAGGTGAAGTCTGGGGTGTTACTGGAGGTAGAGGAGCAGTTGCTTTCTCCTACCCAAAAACATCCCGCTGGAGGTGGAGCACAGCTACCTCCCGGGATGTGCCCTGCTGCAATGCCCTGCAGCCCCAGGGTGCTTCTGCTAGGCAAAGTGTCTTTGAGTATGGTAAACTCTCCATGGGTGAGCTTCATCATCTGAGTGATGGAAAGAAGAAGGGAGGTTCTGGGGAGGAGGGTTAGCACTGACTCTGCCAGCTCTGTTGCAGGAAAAGATGAAGCACAGACAAGGGAGAAGAGGCTGAGCCTGCCTTTCTGAGCACAGGAGGGCACAAGAAAGGTAGCAGGACAGACTCCAGCTCTGTCTCTGAGAAGTAAAAAACAGTTGAGTGTCTGCTCTCAAGTACCGTCATCGCAGAAAAAAAAAAATAAAACAAGACTTGTACCGTGTTTTGCTCAGGGTAGCTTGGGAGAATGTATTAGGAGAGGGCCACCCACAGAACCACAGAATCACATGGAGTTGGAAGGGACCTCTGGAGATCATCTAGTCCAAACCCCCGGCCAGAGCAGGTCCACCCAGAGCACCCCACACTGGCCTGCTTGATGCTGCTGAGTAAAGGTGTTGCAGAGCGTGCAAATCAAGCAGAGGATGTGCATTAGCAACAAGCAGAGCCTGACCCCAGGTTTGGGAATACCGGACTGTTGTGGCTTAATCCCAGCCAGGACTAGGATTGTGTAGCCATCCACTCACTCCCTTCCCCCACCCCCCAGTAGGATAGGGAGAAGAGAGAGAAAAAGGAAACAAAACCTCATGGGTTGAGATAAAGACAGTTTAATAGAACAGTAACGGAAGAGGGAAAAAACCAGTGAGATTATACAAAAAGAGTGATGCAATACAATTTCTCACCACCTGGTGATCAGATGCCCAGCCCATCCTGAACAGTGATTATGGATTCCTGCCCCTGGCCAACCCCCATTTATACACTGAGCATGATGCCTATGGTATGGGAAATTTCTTTGGCCAGCTTGTCTATGCTCCTTCTCAGCTTCCATGGGAAGCTGAAAAATTCTTATGTTATCAACATTATTCTCATACTAAATCAAAAACACAGCAGCTACTAGGAAGAAAATTAACCTATCTGAAACCAGGATATGGGCCTTGCTGAAGAGCATAATAAAAAGGAAGGCCACCACAAGGGGCTGCTTCCCTTCTGCAAAGCCTCAGAAAAGATTTCAAGGTTTGTTTTTCTCCCAGCTGTGTATTTCAGCTGGGGCATGGGCCAAGCACCTCCAGCAAGAGCTGCTGGTTGGCTGGGGGGGCTGGAGCACAAATTCATCGACTCCTGCCGGGGAACAGCTCTGGTGGTTGGGTCTGCTGCTGTGGCCAGTGCCGCCAGCCACACAGACTCACCAGCAGCCCTTTCCCTGCCTACTGCCATGCCTGTGGTGCCTCCTCACCCCTCACAAGAATGTGCCTCACACATTCTTGCTCCTAGAATGTGTCAGCAACACAACCTGTCACAGCACTTGGGCTCCAGGTTGCCACGGCTCTCACCAGCTTCTTCCTAAGCGTCTGCTTTCTTGCCCATGGCAGGCACTGCCAAGTAATTAGGATCATCAGTGCACTTCAGAAGGCCTTGTAATCACAATCCTTATCAGGCAGTACCAAGGTGAGGGTTGTTCTGATGTAGTCTCTGCTTGACTTTACTGTGTGAATATGGAAGCTACGTTTTCCTGAAAAACCCCAGTCCCAGAGGACCATGAACAAGCACAGCTCACAAGTACTTCTGGGACCGGAGATCTGTGCCAGGAGAGGAAGCAACCCAGCTGCTGTGGCTAGTAGCTGCTCCTGCCAGAAAGCCTGAAAACCGTGTTTCTCAGACAAGAGGTCAGAGAGCAGCAAGACTGCAAAAAGGGTGCAAAGTAGCCCCGGAGCACAGAAGAGGAGAACGAAAGCAGCACTGACACTGGCGGAGGTTTCCTCTCCAATGAGGAAGCCTCTTGCACCAGACGTGATTTCTCTGTGTGGCTGTTTCCTCTCTGTGCTTGCACCCCTTGCAGTCAGGCGGGTGTGCTGTGAGGCAGCCGGCGGGGCTGAGACCTCGGTCTTCCCCAGGGAGCGTCAGCCAACATGAGCCTGGGATGGATATGCCTCACGCTCCTCACACCTCTGCTGGCAGCACAGCAGCAGGACAGCCCAGGCACCAACAGCCCCACAGTACTGCTGGAAACAGGTAAGAAGTCCTCGCTCCTCTCACCGCAAGAAAAGGCTTCGCTTCTCTCCTGCTGCAAGGCTGCTATGTATCTTTACTGAGCGCTGGATGCAGTAGCTGTGTCAGAGAGGACGGGAGCTGATGTCCATACCTGGGGCCAAGACACTCGGACATCAGTCAGCTTGTAGTGGGGTGAAGGTCTGATTGGGGATGGAGGTCAGCAAACCTTAGTGTGCCGGGAAAGCTTCCACAGGGGCCGTGTTGTTCTTCCATGGAGTGGGCAGTGTCCCTAGAAGCAGCAGCATCTCTCTTTGCATGGCATGTAGATGCCACGTCCTCACTGCGGTGGAGATGAGTGCTGCTGCCCAGAACAGGCCTGGGGAGCCACGGCCTGAGCCCCCCTGTCTCCAGGAGACCCTGTAACTAATTATGATGTGCTGGGATTTCTCTTGAACATCCTTGATTGGTGCTAGAGGGGCAGGGTAGTCCCAGCGCTTTGCAGGGCTCTTCCTACACAGGCTGCACACTTCCAAACCAGCAGAGTCAGTTAGTGGAAATCTTCAGGCTCACATGTTATCTGACCTCCCAGAAGGCTGGTGAATCAGTCCAGCGCAGCACTGTCTGGGGTTTGAGCTGTGATCCCAGGGCCATGACTTTGTGTTGCTCTGCATCTGCCTGAATTGGAGCATTTCTCTGAAGTAACCTCACTGGAGCGAGCACCTACGCACTAGCATCTACTCGTGTTGTCCCGACCTGCTGCAGGGATGTGTCTGGGCTGACTCAGGATAGAGAAACCAGCGGATTAACAATCCTAGCTATGATACAGGACAGGAAATGTGACCAAGACCTTTAGCTGCGGATAGGAATTGATGGCAGGGTCTTCACTGTGTGATGTGGGCCATGGGAGCCTATTCCCAGGGCAAATGCGTCCCAGTGATTGCAGGGACCGTGAGCACAGTGCACTGTCACTCAAAAAACAACCTGCAACAGAGGTTATCCTCCTGCCCAGAGTGGCTTCCCCTTGCCCGGATCCTCCAGTGAAGCCCAGATCCTCCCAGGCCAGCATGTGAAACCAAGTCCAAGCACTTCATGGCTCTCCAGCTTGTTTGCACAGTGTGCACTAAAGCCAGGACCTGGCCGTACTGTGTGCTGCAGGGACACAGTGGGGACATGGTGGCCCACAAACTCTTGGCACCCTCTGCCCATCTCGGCCGCCCAGCTGTCCCTGGAGGAGCCTGGGGCTGCCTGTGGCAGAGAGGATATTGCTGAGTTTGCACCTTGGTGTTTGTGAAAAGAGGAACCGAGACAAAAACACTTGGCAGCCACACCCAGCAGCGTAGGCAGCCCTGCCTGCATCCTCTGCATGTGGCCTCACTCTGTCCCAGGACCTGTGTGGAGGTCCCCACCTGATGGATAGGGGGCCTTCTTCCACTGAGGGACCAGACAAGGCCAACGGGTGGTCCCACAGTTAGGGTGGAATGGGCTTCTGTGGGACAGACAGTGGCAGTGGGGATGGGTAAAGCCATTGAGCAGAGATGAGGAACATGGGAACAGGGAGTGACCCAAAGGTTCCCCTTTCCCGGAGTCCCTGAGCATCTCCCAAGACCTTGGCAGATGTAGGGTATAATGAGGGAGGGGGAACAGCCCAGTGGGGACAGCGGACTAGCTGCTTCTACTGCACAGTGCTGTCCCCTTAAAAGCACTAACACGTTTGGAGAGGGACCAGGGTGCTGGGAAATGTGGGGCTGTCCCCTTTCAGAGTGCCCACACTGCTGTGTTAGCTTCCATCCCTCGCCCTGCCTCTGCCCCCCCCAGCACTGAGCCCTGGTGGTCCTGGTTCCTGAAAATTCTTCCCCCATGAGGAAGGTCCATGTACCCCAGGGCCCAGCAATCGCCAAGGAAAAGAGGCTGGGAGGCAGAGCTGTGTCCCATCGCTGGGCAGGAGATAAGAGGTGTCTCTGGGAGCCCTGTGGAAAGCCAAGCAGCTGCAGGCAAGAGGATGTGGTTGCTGTGTGTGGTACCAACGTGAGCCAGCGCAGCACTGCCGCTCTGCTCACCCCTCCACCGAGCAGCACGCATTGTCTCATTGTCTTATTGTCATCTTACTGTCTTCCTGTGCTCTTCTCATCCTCCCTCTCCCTTGGGTTACCTTACTCCTCATCTCCTTTCAGTCCCTGCATGCCTGGGAGGCAGGAGGAGAAGCTTTTAGGGGATGCCTTCCCTGCGGAGGCAGGGTCTGTGATTCAGGCTGGACCTGGCCCCTTTCTCATCAGCCTTGCTTGACATTAGGCAGTGATTTAGTAGCAGCTGACAACAAGCCCTAACTGGGAGGGAAGCCGTAACGCCTGGTGGGGTGGGAGGGTGGCTAGGTAAAGTAAGGCCACACTCAAACCTAAAGCTTTTGTGTCAGTTGGACTTGAATTTCAGACAGTGCCCAGAGTAAATCCTGCAGGGAACACAAATGCTCAGGGATGCCTTGGGACTGGACACCCTTCGTGCTGTGAACTGTGTGCTCCGCCATGCTTCCACTTCCCGTTACCAGAGTATAGATTCAGGAAACAAGTTGTCTCACCTCATGTTCTTAAAACCATGTCACATGCCCTTTTGCATGGCAGAGCAGCACAGGTTAAAGCGCTGCCATTTCCCTCCCCTTCCCGTGGCGACTCGTTTAGGGACACCTCCTTTCACAAGCTGAGCAGCCCCAGGGTCTCTCCTCCCCTTCTCCAACCTCACACTTCCCATCACTCTCAAAGATCTGCTCAGCAGCTTTGGTTGCTCACAAGGAAAGGCTTTAAGACTGCTGCATATCTTCTCGGTGGTTTGCAATACCACTGGTGGAAAGAGCGGTTGCTTTTCTTAGCTCCTCTCAGCAACCACATGGCATCAAACCCAGCAAGACCCCAGCTGTGCTGTCACCTCTGTTAGAATCATAGAATCATAGAATTGTCAAGGCTGGAAGGGACCTCCAAAGGTCATCTAGTCTGACCTCCCTGCAGTCAGCAGGGACACCCCCAACCAGACCAGGTTGCCCAGGGCCTCGTCGAGCCTCTCCTTGAATATCTCCAGGGAAGGGGCCTCAACCACCTCCCTGGGCAACCTGTTCCAGTGCTCCACCACCCTCACAGTGAAGAACCCTCTCCTTATCTCCAGTCTAAATCTGCTCCCCTCCAGCTTGAAGCCATTAGCTGCTGAGCTGCCATGGGAAAAGGATTGAACTTTGCCTGCTGCTCCTTAGATTTTTACCTTGTCTTTTATTCTTCGGGTGTGGGATAATGCAACGCAAGAAAGTATGTCTTTTGCTGGTCAGCAAAGGGCTGAAGCCAGGAGTCTGACCTGAATTACCAGCACAGCTATTTCTCCTTTCTCCTGATGCTCCCTGACATCTGCTTCTGGGGGCATGCTGGGGCTTTGTTTCGCCTGCCAGACTCATAACTCCTTTGCAGCAGGGACAGATAGTCCAGATACTCCTGTAAAATGCTTACTATATTCATGGATATTAAACAAGATTTACAAGGAGGGTATTAATTTAATAGCATCAGCTGAAGAAAAACAGTTAATTTCTGACTATATGTGGCAAATAGACTAACGTTTTGTTACCACTTCTGCCTAGGCATTCAGCATTCCCCCGTTTTGCAGTGAGCACACATTGTACGTTACAAGAGGTGCCTGTTTGGTCACGTCTACACCATATTTTCCATGCGGAAATTTCACTTGTCTCAGCCTCTTTCCTATAGCTGGGGGCGGAGGGCCTGTGGGCGGCTGTCTGCATACCACAGTGCAGGGTAGAAAACAGTGTTTCTGATGACTGTTTCTTTATTCTCCCGGATGCCGTTAGTCCCTACAAGGCAAGAAGCTGAGTGTTTCTTTCCCCAAGGCAAGATGCTGAGTGTTTCTTTCCCCTTTCTCTCTGAGCACGCTCCCTTCTCCAGCAGTGCCCTGTCCCCCCATGCACGGGAGTGTGCATCAGTCTCCTTCTCACCAGTGGTGAGCACCAGCCTGGTGGAGATCTGATACCCTCTGACTCACTTGGGCCACACAGCTCCCCATGGTGACCACCAAAGCACACAAACAGCCACCCTGGGTTAGACCAAAGGCTTCTTTGCTCCAAGGAGCTCTTTTCCCAACGTAAATGCTACAGAGTGATTGGGGAAGGAGTGTAAGAAAGAGGGCGAGGACAGATGTGTGTCCCCCCCACCAGCCTGTGCATCTCAACTGCACCCAGCAGCCATGGACTGGTTTCTCCCAGTGAGTCTCAAGCAGTAATCACCCACCTGCTAGGCTTGGGCTGCCTGGAGAAGAGAGGCTGAATCAGATTGCATTCAGCGATGTTCTTGAGACAAAAAATGAGGTGGACTCAAAGTGTCTTCTCTTCTGTGGGGAAGCAGAGCCTTCTAGGCTTTACCCTCAAGCAGCCATCAGAAATGCCACCAGGAAGGGCTCTGAGCCCTCTGAGCTATGGGCTTTCCCTGCCTGTCCTGATCTCTCCATCCCAGCCTTCGGGCTGTGTGTGGAGCGGTCCATGCCCAGCCTGGGTCAAGGTGCCATATGAGCCGCTGCCTGACCCACGTACAAGCATGTAGGGCCACATCTGGCAGACCACAGAGCACAGGCTGAACCCACGGGGAAGAAAAAAGGTGGCCAAATGACCACCCCTACAGCCACTCAGAAAGGAAAGGATGAGATGCAGAGGACAGTCATCCTGCTGGTGCTTGCAAGGGGCTCTGTGGGCAAAGCCAGCGAGCAAGAAGATTTGCCTGTGGGACTGCTCACTGGTGTAGGCTTTGTGCCCAAAAGGCAGAAGTGGCCACAGACACACTGCTGGCACACGTGAGGTCTTTGCAGAAGCACATTGCAGCCATCTGCCCTTGCCTGATGCCACAGTGGAAACCATGCTGGGTCACAGCAGCATCCTGACACCCCCCAGCAGACACCAGTGGGTGGACTGACGAAGCCCTGGAGCAAAACGAGGAGAGGAGAGGAGAGGAGAGGAGAGGAGAGGAGAAGGAAAGGAAAGGAAAGGAAAGGAAAGGAAAGGAAAGGAAAGGAAAGGAAAGGAAAGGAAAGGAAAGGAAAGGAAAGGAAAGGAAAGGAAAGGAAAGGAAAGGAAAGGAAAGGAAAGGAAAGGAAAGGAAAGGAAAGGAAAGGAAAGGAAAGGAAAGGAAAGGAAAGGAAAGGAAAGGAAAGGAAAGGAAAGGAAAGGAAAGGAAAGGAAAGGAAAGGAAAGGAAAGGAAAGGAAAGGAAAGGAAAGGAAAGGAAAGGAAAGGAAAGGAAAGGAAAGGAAAGGAAAGGAAAGGAAAGGAAAGGAAAGGAAAGGAAAGGAAAGGAAAGGAAAGGAAAGGAAAGGAAAGGAAAGGAAAGGAAAGGAAAGGAAAGGAAAGGAAAGGAAAGGAAAGGAAAGGAAAGGAAAGGAAAGGAAAGGAAAGGAAAGGAAAGGAAAGGAAAGGAAAGGAAAGGAAAGGAAAGGAAAGGAAAGGAAAGGAAAGGAAAGGAAAGGAAAGGAAAGGAAAGGAAAGGAAAGGAAAGGAAAGGAAAGGAAAGGAAAGGAAAGGGAAAATACTCTGATGTCTCTGGCATAAAGGCTGATAAACACCCAGGTTTAAGAAGGGAATATGCCTCATATCACCATGCAGAAGCCTCACCTTTTAGTAAAAAAAAAAATCACAAACTTTAAACAAAAGCTGATTCTTCTTTGTTACTACAGTAAGTCCGCACGGTATTACACTTCTAAAGCAGCAACCATGAGATGTGGCCTTTTTAAATGTAGTGCTACCGCTGGTGTCTGTAAGGAAGCACCATACAAGACCAAAAGCCTCTTGAGAAGTTCCTTCAGCAGCAAATGCTTTGCTACACAGAGGGCACTGAAAGTCTGGGTGGGCTTCAGAGCAAGGCACAGCTCTGGTGTACATCTGCAACCCCCCCTGCCAGCAGAGCATCAGTGTTTGTAGGAAGTCACTGTCCCCGGTATCTCTCGAAATCTGCACCTGTGTCAGCAGGTTGCATGGGAAGGACAATTTCTCTTTCCCTCCTCATTTCCTGCCCAGCAGGTTGCCACGTCCTCCGCTGCCGGTGGGTTTTGTGTCACTGCAGGGGCTGTAACAGCTACCAGGAGGTATGGAAGGAAGCACTTGCAAAAGGAAAAGCGACCAGCCCCCTTTGCTCTGAAGATCAGGATGGGGACAAGCTGGGAGAGGCCAGCGATGGCCATGGGCACTTGCAGCCCGCCCCCCCCC